CACGGGCTATCGGGTCCATGTGCGGCTCTGCTCTTCCATCCGCACTCCATTTACAGCGTCGCTCCACCCTGTGGCGGCCAACTGCTTCACGTCGGCGCGCACTTTCCCTCCGGCCGCCCTCCGCCCTCTCCATTCCCTGACCCCATCCCGGGCCCTTCACGTCTAAGAGCCACCCTTCTGCAGGTCTCGTCTTCTCGTCCTCAGTCCATTTGTCATATGGTCCCCCTCTCGCAACTTAATCCTGTTTTATTTTATTTTCGCCTAGGCCATTAATTTGCCCTTTATTCTTGCCGCTTTCCATCATGGCTCTCGTCCTTTTCGCTCCCTGATAAATCTCGCGTAATATCTATCCCACGCTCCTCCCACCTCCCGAATCGGTTCCATTTCACTTTTCCGCCATTTTGGAGTTCGTCTTTCGTCTTCTCCTCCCCCCCCGTGACAGACGAAACGCAGCCTTCAAACAGAATATAAATTATAATGCGCGATAGGCCCAGACGAGGGTGAGTCAGACGAGGGAGAGATGCTCCAACAAAGAAAATAAAACGAAATCTCGGGAAGAAAGTCGAATGGAAAAAGGAAAGGTTAGGTGCCAGCGAACCGAGAAGGAGGCGGCGACAGAAAAAAAGCAGGCAAAAGACAACCGGGACATGAAAATATTCTACTACTCGCAATACAAACAGCTCTGGGGAGTAAAAAAATATAAGCGAAAAACACACATCAACATAAAAATGAAAACGCGACGCGGAGTGTGGGGGTATGGGGTCGTGGTTGCTCGCGGCAATGGAGGAGCTTCGATAAAGATTGTCTCGGAGCGCCTTGGCGGCTAGATTGTAAAAGGAGAGATGTTGTTTAAGGAGAATGACGCCGGAGCGGTGCTGGTGGGACATTGACAAGTTCTGCGGAACAGTATCGCAATAGAGTGTCTCATTTAAACGTTTTCTTGAAATGGGATATTGACGTAAATAAAGAAGCGTCTTCTCACATTGGGTTCCAATTTCAGGATTACTTCGTTCAAACGTACCACATTTTCATACATACGAACCATAATAAACATGCAAATCAATGACAATTGTCGGTTTTCCACATGAGTTTGAATTTTATATCTGGTGTGTGATCTATGCGGATTTGACAATGCTTATGATTGGATACTGTAATATAATAATATAAAAGGTGTCATATCAATATTGTTTCCATAGTCGTGCAACTATAGTACATTATTTCATGAATCATTCTTCTTTATAATTTCTTCGTCATTTGCGGTTTCTTTTTGAACTGCTATTCATTGTGATTGTAGTTTCTTTTCATTGCAATTATTATTCAGTGGTATGTTGGTATATTTTTACGGTACTATTTATATATTTTTGGAATTTATGATTAAAATAAATTTGAACGTCTGAAATAACTAAATACTTAAGATTATTTCCATATTCCAGCTATTTGTTATGTAATTTACTCTGCGAATATTTGTTCATGCCGGAGTTGCCCCTTATGTCCCTCCCAAAAACTGACGTCACCGCCTGGCTGACATTGAACTACGACACGACAACGCCAAGACTAGCCACCCCGGATCGGCGATGGCATCGCGTTAACAAGAAAGCTGGAAATCCCCAACATGGCGGCGCACTTCTCAGCGTCGGGGCGTCCATCAATCGAGAGATCGCTGCTAATCGACGCGGGCCCCAGAGGGAGCGGCGATCGCCATTCATCGTGACGCAATCGCGGGTCTTACACTCCGGGGATCGAATCCAGGCGCGCGCCCCGACGTACATTAACATCCATTAATAGCCACAGCTCTCCAGTCGATTGCTGCTGCTCAACTCGGATGAGCTCTCCGGGGTTTACTGGTGAGATAATGCGCTCGAAAGGCGATAAGGGAACTTGGAAGGTGTTAGTTGAAGGTTTGACGCAAGTACTTTTGATACCAACATTCTATTCCTTTTTGGTTTGGCTTCAGGTAAGAATTCTGTTCTGTTCTGTAGTTTTGCTTCAGATGAATTTTAACGCCCGAAAAGTAGCTGTTAATGCGGAAAACGCAAACGTTTTCATGACGTTCCCAAAGCAATACGTCACCGGAAGAAAGACACGATGACGTCACTAAGGCATTACCGGAGACGACGTTCCCTCTGAAAGGTTGGAGGAGCTGAGAGGTTGACGAGCGAGGGGTGGTGGGTGGGGTGGGGGCGAGATAATGCATGGCGAGTTGTGGAGGGGTAAGGACGAATAATGAAAACAAAAACTGTCGGGACCGGGGTGCGCACCAAAAAGCCAGGGTAAAAAAGTGAGCATCCCCTCTCTGTGTTGCGGCGACGAACTATATCGGTCGTTGGAAAGCGAAGGAGTAACCGCGCGGGCGCTGGCCAGAGGTACCTTCCTCACACCCCGACGAGGTGCGGTCGGATTTTGATTGATGTTGATTGTTTTTTTATTTTTTTTATTTTTATTTATTTTTATTTATTTTTATTTATTTTTATTTATTTTGATCTATATCGATGTTTAATTTTGATTCGGTTTGAATGGTTTTGATTGATTAGAAATTCCGGGCGCGTCATGGCTAGAGTTATTAGTCCCGTAAATGTTGTGCATGATGTTTTCCCTCTGAAGGTAGCTGTGATTAGCTTCCGCGGGATGTTGAGATCAGGCGCCGACCTACCGACAGCTAGCGGGGTTTTCCTCAACCACGTATCCCTCACCCGCGGGGCACCCCCCCCCTCGAGTCTGGACAAGCTCTAAGCTCCCGACTGGTCTTCCGGTATGTGTGGTAGTGACGTAGACACAGAGAGTACTGTAACCGTCACCTTTTCTCACCTGCCAGGCAGCAATCAAAAGCTGAAGGTAAACAGAGGCCTATTTTTAAATTTCAAACAATTATTCTCTCACCAATGTCTTCAATTTTTTCTTTAATATTTTTTTCACGTATATAGCAAAGAACGGTAAGGAGAGTCATGTTGGTTCCGTGAGGCACTCTGAATTTTTCGAAAATCGGAACAAAAATTCAAAATCTTCAATTCTAAATTCTTGCGCTTCATGTTATTATCGAAACATCGTAAAACTTTCTAGCTTTGTAATTACATATTTCTTGGCATGCGAATTTTAAAAATGCATTCTTTTTCCGTGCATGTTTGCGTATTTTGGTTGTTTTTTTTTATAAATACATGTATAATGCATGATGGAACCTTTTTTTTCAATTAATAGTGGAAACTATGTATGACGTACTATGAAAAGAAGTGTATGTTTGTGCTTTCAGTGCACGTTTTTTTAATTCTAGGATTTCTAATAGAACGCATAAACAAGTTAAATTTTGAATAAAGTTAGAAATGAGAATTTTTGACAGAAATTGATCACAAAATATGCACTAAGCACGTATACCAAACGAATCGCTTCTTGTGGTTTTAACAACGATGTGCTCAATGTAATCAAGACTCCATTGCGTAAAATTATTCTTGATTTTCTGTGTAATGTATTGCAAATACTGTAAGAGTTACATTTATTCTTGTTCGTTTCATTTGTAACAGTAAGATGTGATTGCTGTTCTTAACTATAAACATGAATGTAGATATGTATCACAGGTGATTCATTTGAATTGGATGAATTGGGCGTTTTTAGTAATACCTGAAGTATTATCGCAGATATTGCAACATTTTAATATTACGAAAATTCTTTCAATACGCTGATGTGAGGGTAACGCTGAGGTGCTAACTATGTACTGACGTAAACCACTAGTTTCGTGTTTCGTTTATCTATCGATAAATTCGGAATCATAAGTGAAAATAAAGTAAGTATGTGTAGCTGAAAAAAACGCTTTGTTTATGCTATTGTTTACAAGTGTTGTCTCGTGCATTGACTCATTCAGATATTTTAAAATAAGTTAGAGTTGCCTACCCCATATGAATATCAAAATAATGTTCTTACAAATTGCGCGGTCCAGAACGTTTATGAAACCATCTTTATTAGTGGGTATTCGATCTCCAACGGGAGAACACGGGGGTAAACGGGAATTATTTGTTCACGGACAGAATAGGAATGGTTCAATAAGTAAAGTCGGGAAAATGGCTTGGCAAATGCTTTCAAAATTTTGATCTTTTAACGTATCGATCCATTCAAAAACCCATCGAAATAGATTTAAAGTGCATATAAATGTGTCGCGCGGTGCAGAACGTTCGGCGAAGTGTGTCATAAGTTAAAAAACGGGCAGGGTCCAGTGGGTTATTGGGTCAGCAACGGGCAGCAACGCTGGGGTGCTGAGGCGGCAGCGCGAGCGGCGGCGACGACGTCAACGACGATTAACGCATGGGCAGGAGCGGGCGCCGGCGCGCGCGGCGGGGCATTGAGCGCGCCCCGTGACGTGCTTCCGCTTCCGCCCAAAGCGCCCGGATAATTACCTCGTGAGACAATTACCGCTCGTTAGCAGCCCCCTCCGCCACCCGCCCTGCGCGCCAGCCCCGTTTCCCACGCCGTCCGCGCCCATCGCCATGCGAGTGCAACCGCCGGCGGGTCCGGCGTCCGTCCGCCCCGCCTCGCCCCGCCTCGCCCCGCGCCCGCCCCGCCGTCGTCCCCGCCTCGCGGCCACGCCTCGCCCCGCCTCGCCCCCCTCGCCCCGCCTCGCCCCGCCTCGCCCCGCCTCGCCCCGCCTGCGCTCGCCCCGCCCCGCCTCGGCCTCGCCTCCGCGCTCGCCTCGCCTCGCCCCGCCCCGCCCCGCCTCGCCCCCGCCTCGCCCCGCCTTCGCCCCGCCATCCGCCCCCCGCCTGTTATTCTCGCCCGCGGCCCACCCCCCTTCACCCCAATTTACACCGCTCGTCTCGATCCGACGCCTCCGCGCCCCCAGTACGTTATCCACGCCTGTAGCCTCATGCCATCCTCCGAATGACGGACCGGAAACCCCTTTTTGCCAATCCGGTTCCATCTCCCCTCCCTTTAATACCCCGCTGCCCGCGCGCCCCCCCGTTTCCAACGGTCAACCACGGCCAGTCGACAACTGCCGCGGGGTCTAGCGTGAAGATAGGTCACCGGCGCTCTCGTGGCAGCCCCGCATGGCATCGCCCGGTGCTCCTCCCCAATGGCCTTGGCGGCTGTATTGGGTCCACGTCCACCGCCCGGCGGCCCCGAATGGGGCAAGGGGCTGGCCGAAGCCCGTGGATAGTACCATGGATGGGTGCAAGAAGGTTGGGGCTTATCCCCATACTGAAACAAAAATCTTTATGCCCCGCCCCCTCAGCCCCCTACCGTTCCTCCCTCTCAACCCGCGTCTCGAGCCCGGGAATATGCCCTTTCGATTGCCCTGACCCTCTTCTCCCACCCTGCGCTCCGCCCTGTTTTAACTCTATTCCTGTACTCTCCCTGCTCAGTACCGGTGTACATGCTTCTTCCCTTCCCTTGCTTTCCTCCTCCTTGTGCTTCCCACCCAACTTCCCTCACCCCCCTCCGATCCCGGTTCATTCTCCGACCTGTGAGCCACCCCTGTGTCCCCTTGCCATCGTTCTCGCCACCCCCGTCGTCGTCACCACCCCTGCCGCAGTCCCAGCCCAGTTTATGTCACTCGGCGTTCTGCGTCACACGCCTCGCTCCCTCCACGCACCCCCGCCGGATGGAACGCCAGGAGGTCCCCAGCCATCGTGCTCCCTCGTTCACCTGCTGCTCGTAATGCACCGCTGCTGGCGGTGTCGGTGATAGGCGAGCATCCATGGAGTGTACGTAGATAGTTCGGCTGCACAATGGTCGACTAGTATTATTTTGTATTTTATAAAAAAGCAATGTATAGCTAGAAAAAACTTAACGCTCAGAATTCTTCGTTTTTATATAACTTTTGGCAAATTTGGATATCCATGAAATTATTTTTGAGATATTCATAATTTGTGAGCGTTTTATCAGATATATTCGTCATTCGTCAGGGAGGTGTAAAACGGTTTGAATTCTTATAGCATGAGTCGTTCGAGCAAAATGTTCGAAATGGCTTCGTGAATTTATTGTATTTTGTATTAAATTTACTTAAGGGATAATTGTGGTTTCCATTTTATAGAGCAAAATGTGTTCCGTATTTAAGTACCTTTATCTAATGTGTGCTCATTTTTTACTTAAATTTCAAATTATCTTTTTTCGTTCAAATTTTAAACGTCTAAAGGTCTCATTTTAGCTAAATGTAGAAAGTATACAAATTGAAAATAAAAATCAATTATGTTGGTTTATTTAGAAAATCAGCATTAATAATTTAGTTTTCTCGCGGTTCTTTTATTTTCCTTTGATATTAATAATTCGTCCATGTTGTACCGATAGCCATTTTGCTGAAAATTTATAGACAAGTCAGCCGAGGATAAATAGCTGTGCAGCGATTTCCAATTCCCCCGACACGTGAAATACGAGTTCAGCAGGTAAGGAAACGACTGCGTTTTGTACTCGCGAATTGAAACGGGAGCACTAGTTTTTTTCACGTTCGCTGGCAAAGTGAAAACTAAAACGAGAAAGGAATCGTTCTCTATCTTCTTACGGCCGACCGCGTCTGCGTTGGCCACGATAAAAAAACGAAAGTAAAAGAAGATTCCGAAAGGAGAAGAAGGAATAAAAATTCACACCATTAGCGCTCCAGAGAGAGACAGAGTGGAAATAAATATTAAAAAGATGTATTCTATCACTCTGAATACTTGTCGCTTGCCTGCAACGCGCTTTTCCAAGCTTTTCGCTCGGTTGGAGCAAAGAAAGCAAAAGATGGCTTAAAATGGCATTCATAGCCCCAAACGCTCCCGGTATTAAACGAGCATCGCGACACGCACCACGGCGACAGTGGCGAGCTCCAGCGGCAAAGGACGTAGTTTATCTGAGCGGGATGAACGTTTGTTTGGAAGGCGCTACGAGAATGAGCGTGCGGCGAGGGGTAGGCGTGAGGTGGTGGGAGGGGGGATAGTGGGATTAACGCAGAACCTCAGATTTGAGTCGAAATAATAAACACTGTTATGCATACGGTTATTGCAGGGGAAATTATTTTTTTATTTTTTAAAAGTTTGTTGGGCCATAAAAGACCGTTGTGAGAGTGAGAGTGTGAATATTTTGCTAGTTGGCGAGCATGGTGTGAAGATGAATGCTTCGTTTACTCTCTGCGTTACCGGACGATAGATACGAAAATCTAGCTGTAACAAGTGCAATTTTAAACTCTTTCCGTTCTACATTTAATATGTGGTACGGTTTTGGTTTCTGAGTTATAAATTTGTGAATGTGCTTTCATTGTGATAATTCTGAGTGAAACTATTTTTTCCTTCCTTCCTTCCTTCCTGCCTGAATGAAACAGGTTTATGAATGTTTAGGTTCATCAAAATGTTTTAAGTACTTTTTCCCAGTTTTAATATTTTTATTCTATAAAATGATTACGGTCATGTTTAAAAGTACTTTGATATTGTAGATGAAGACAGTTGAGTTTTCTGTTATTTTTGCTCGGTTTCGAAAACAAGGTGCGCGTCCCAGATATTTTACAAAAAGAAGATGAATAAATAGACATAACAAGGAATGAATATATTCAAGTTTATTTGTGTCATAAAATAATATTACAAATTTTGTGTGGCATTAATTGCAACAATAGTTTCTTATTACTGAAGAATACAAAAAGAATATTTGTTTCACTCTCAGTTTGAATTATTACTTTTGACACACACAACTTTAAATGCGCTTATATTAAAATAGAGGGTGATAGATTGTACTTTTATTCAATATTAAGAACAACATATATTTATAAACAACATTAATAAATAAATTAATTAATCAATTTGTCCAGGGATAATAAATCAATATTTTTTTTAAAATGAATAATCCACATACAGAAAGTAGGTTGTCACTAAAAATGTTTGACACAAGAAAAGTATAAAACGTGTAATTAACACACACTACACACTTGTTGTTTAATATATTTCCGTATAGCTTCAGGCACGTTTGTATTGTCAATTATCACAGTAAGTACACAAACGCAAAAACAACATTTAGCAAGTGTAACATGTGGTTCTTGAAAATATGAATTGAAGATGTTCAGGCATCCTTAGCGAGTAAACATGAGCCAAGGGCATGTTCTTCAATCAAAGGAGTGTTAATACACATGGAAGATAGAAAATACGCCTTGGAGTGACTGGTGTAGTACTCCAATTTGATAAAAAGTTTATTAATCATGACCAAAATTCGAAGTTTCTTGTAAGGCACTGTTCAGAACAACATATAGGGGTTAATTCCAAATATGAATAATTCATGTTAATTATTATATCACTTAGTGGATTCGAAAATGGATTATTTTAAGTGCGTCAATGTATAAAGTCTGCTCATATTAAAATAAATATTTTTCTACCTGGTCAATCATATTAAAAACTTTCAGGGAGTTTAAATTTATTTACAATAACTATAGAGGCAAACTGCCAGCATTCAATCTGTAGCTAAATAATATTGCCCATAGGTTACAAGAATACTTTACACGAGTATTTATCTGTGTGGAAGTGGTGAATAACTAGGGTATATAAAAGTTAAGAGTAAGTTGTTGAAAGCGGAACAAAAATTAAATTACGGAGGGTGGAAAACGTAATTAGGGAAACGAGATGAAAATTGATGATTTAGAAAGTATATTGTTCTTAAAGTAAATATGTAGATGCACGCGATAGGTAAGTTGTTACAAAACTTGTTGTGAAGAATAAAGTATGAAAAATATCATATTGAATTTCTTCTATACATGTTTGTATACATGTTTATTTGAAATTACTCTTGGTGCATTTAATATTTTCGAATTTTATTTTGAGCAACTTAGAGTTATGATTGGTAGAAGCATTTCATCCAATAGGACAGACGAGGGCTTATATATAAAGCAGAATACCACGTCAATTCGTAATTTCGTCAATTCGTAATACAATATATATATATATATATATATATATATATATATATATATATATATATATATATATATATTCCGCAAGGCATTTAAATGTAATGAAATCTGAAAAATTGTACTAACTTGAATTTTTATTCAGATTTGTTGTGTAAGACCGTCAACTCAATTAGAAGCAATCGGGATAAAACTGTTTCGAAACCTAAAAGTGCTTGTTCTTAGCTACAAGCTTTGAATGAATATTCAGGAGAATTAACGGAAATCTGCCAAGGAAGGATACAAACCTTGACCTTCTGAATAACCCATATTTCCCGATGGGGGATGGTTGACCAACCCTGACACGGGTTGACCAGAGCCGTTGGCGGCCTGCGCGAATGGTGAAGGTGGCGCTGATGGTGCCGGATTCGTGAGCTGAGCAGGGTGATAAACCGGAAGTAGGGACGGCATAGGCGGTGGCGGCGGTGGTGCCGGATTCATGGGCTGGGCGTACGTGTACGCAGGGTGGTAAACCGGAAGTGGTGACGGCATAGGCGGTGGCGGAGGTGGTGCCGGATTTATGGGCTGAGCGTACGTATACGCAGGGTGATAAACCGGAAATGGTGACGGCGTAGGTGGAAGCGGTGGGGGAGGCGGCGGCGGTGGCGGCGGAGGAGGAGGAGGCGGGTGAGGATGTCCGGGCAGG